AGGTACGGATAAATATTATATATATATTATTTGTAGGACAAAAATCAGATATTATATTTGAAAATGGGTAAATCGTTCTCAAAAAGTGAAAATTGCTTCTATGAGGGCGATTTTGACCTCTATTTCGTCCTCTAGTGAAAACAAATCTTGTTGGAACTGTCCATATCCGGTTCATCCTTCGGAACCATATCACATCCCGAATCTGATGAAATAGGACGAATTGAGACGGTATTTTGTAAATACGTAATTATCTTGAATAGATTAACCATTTCTTTCTTTTCTCAGCCAAAAATATCTTTTAATGCCCAAAATTGCCATCACTTTTGTAATGGCAATTGGAATGATATTAACTCCTATTTATTCATTATCTATGTCACGCCAGATGTTTTATGGATACAAGTTATTTAATACTCCAAACTCCTMTGTTTTTGATTCTGGACCGCGCGAGTTATTTGTTTCGATCTCCATTTTTCTACCTGTAATAGGTATTGGTATGTATCCCGATTTTGTTCTTGACACGTCAATAACGATTTGACGAGACATCGAGGACGATTTTTATTGGTATTTTATCTTTTTATGACCAAATGTAATATATATAAATCTTGTATTATTCTCTATAAAATTGTAGTGATCCAAACATTTCTATTCTCATAACTCTTAACCCGCCACTTTGAGCATACATGGAACCATTAGCACTTTATCGTGATTTCATATTTGTGTTAAAGGTTGTGATGATAGATTATGTTTAAAGGTTAAGAGTTGTGAGAGTAGAAGTATTTTAATCATTACAATTTCATAGAGAATACTATATATATATATATATATATATGTATGTATATTACATTTGATCCTAAAAAGACAAAATACCAATGAAAATCACCCTCGATGTCTCGTCAAATCGTCATTGATATGTCAAATCGTTGCGTCATCAGTTATCTTCACTAGAAGACGGAATAGAGGTTAAAATCGCTCCCCATAGGGCGATTTGGACAAAATGAGGGCGATTTCACACACACACATATATATATACATATATATATATATATATATATATAAGATATAATATCTGATTTTTGTTTCCTAAATGATGTACATGTGGGATTCATTTGTACCTTATAGTCATTTTGTAAAAAATCTCTGAAAAGTGGTCATTTTGTTAGCACACCATATATAAAATGGTCATTTTGGGTAATTTTCCTATTTTAAACTGTAAAAAGTTATACCATATAGTGCGATCTTGTACATTTTATACGGTTTGTACTTAACGTACTTTATGCTTAAAATCCAGTAATTATAAAATTAAAACTCCATTATAAAATCGATTATAAACGTGACGGTAGTCCAAACAAATAAAGTTTAAATACATCTCATTTCTCAAACACATACTACATAATAACAAATAATCTAAAAAGTACAAAATTAACCTTAAGAACTAAAAATATTATATAATAGGCCAATTATTTTATGTATATTTTATACAGACATTATAAAAACATAAATTATGTGGTGTGGTATGGTCTGAATCATGTTTTGTTAAACCAAAACCGCAAACTGCACCACATAGTGTGATTTGGTCAAATGTAAACCGCAAACCTCATTGTAGGAGTTCTAAACTGCAATTTACGGTAAGGTGTAGGCAGTTTATGCAGTTTAGATGAACACCCTTAATTTACGGTTTGTAGTCCATGCCCTTTATTAATATACCGTTCACATTTCATATGTTTTCTTCACTCACATACTACTCAGAAGGTATGAGAATATTTTTGAGAATGTAGTTTATGTATGGATAAAACTGTTTCTATGTAATCTGTGTGTATAGATTGAAAATATCTTTGAGGTATGTTGAAGCCCTCAATCTCTCTGTATATATACATACATACATTATTGCATCTGGGAATCGAATTCGATTGAACCCAGTCAAAGGACATAAGATTTTGCTTTTATAGCGATGATTCTTATCTGAAATTTGCAAAGGATGCTCGCTCTGGGCCTATGTCGCAGATTTAGAACCTACACGACCATTCCATCCTTTCTTGTACGAGCGCCCTAAAAATAGAACCGAGATGGAGGAGGAGAGGCGGCAGGTTGAGGATGAGAGAAAACAAAGAACCCTAGGTTTTGGAGGAGAAGCTGAATGGAAAAGGAAAATAAAGCCGATGAATATGGAAGGGTTTTAAGTAAATATTAAATGACAAAAGCTTGAGAAAATTGGAGAGGAGATAAATCTGGTTTTAGCCCTTAGAAGAGGCCACGTCATTGGACGCGGTTTCTTCTTTAATATATATATATATATATTGAAAAATTCTCCTATTAACAAACCAGTTATAACCGACAATCAAGAGTTGAGGTCAAACACTCTAAATTATTGGAGTGCCACAAAGTTTTTAAGGTGTGATGTATGACAACAAATCTGTTTATTACATGTACAATTACACATTTATAGACACATTTTTGTACTGTTACTTAATGAGCCATGACACATCATAATCTGTATTCTCGAAATCTTTTTTTACGAAGGAAAGGAAATGAAATTGAGAAAATGGGGAGAAAGTAAAGAAAAAGAGGACTTATATTCTCGAAACCTTTTATAGGAGAGAAAGAAAAGGAAATGCAGGAAAATAATTATAAGTTTCCTTCCAAAACTTTCTTTCCAAATATGAAAGGAAATAAAAGGAAAAAAAAAAGTAAAACCCCTTTAAAATGGTTACAAAAATTACAATATTATTCAACCTTTCGTTATAAAGCATATATTTTTAAAGGGGTATATTTACAAAAATGACATATTTAATTTCCTTACTTTTCCTGCCTTTCCGAAAACACAAATAAAAAAAGAGTATTTTCTTTTCACTACAAATTCGAGAACACAATCACAAGGGTGGTACCTGATTGGTTTGAGTTTGGGATCAAAAGGTCAAAAGTGTTTGGAGATCCCAGGTTCAAATCTAAGAAGGAAAATAAAAATCCCTTTTGTGACCATGGAGGTTCAAAAGTGATGACTCCAGACTAGCCGCAAAACAGGTGGTCACCCTATTATTGGTGGTATTGGAAACAAACGACTGTGATGACGAACTCTTTAGAACATTGATGTGTACAAATATTTTGTTTTATGAGGAGTTTAAATATAGACCAATGTTTCCTCTATCTTACTTAAGGTTAAGCTTAAGAGAGTGATATACATCTATACTATATTATAAAACATTTGACAAAAACTCTAAAAAACTATTTTTTATACATGAAATATTATTTATTGATGCATATTACTTAAAATTCAAGATTACAAGTGATTTTGCGTAAGTACAACTTATTAAAGCTTCATTTTTAAATTCGTGTAACTRACTGCAGATAAACATAATCAAATACAGGATAAACATCTATTTTAAATATARAAAATCTAAAATATAATTAAGATATCATTGAGTTCTAACAAAATGTTCAATTATTATCTTTATAAAAAATCTGAAATATAATTAAAGATAATCATTGAGTTCTAACAAAATGTTCAATTATTATCTTTATAAAAAATCTGAAATATAATTAAAGATAATCATTGAGTTTTAACAAAATGTTCAACTATTATCTTTATAAAAAATCTAAAATATAATTAAGATAATCATTGAGTTCTAACAAAATGTTCAATTATTATCTTTATAAAAAATTATATTTGACAAAAACTATTAAAAACCATTATTTATGCATGAATTATTGCTTATTGATTCATATTACTTAAAAATTCAAGATTACAAGTGATTTTGCGTAAGTACAACTTATTAAAGCTTCATTTTTAAATTCGTGCAACTGACTGCAGATAAACATAATCAAATACAGGATAAACATCTATTTTAAATATAATTAAGATAATCATTGAGTTCTAACAAAATGTTTAGTTATTATCTTTTTAAAAAATTATATTGTTAAACCAAAAATAAATTACTTTGTTATTAAATTATAATAAAAAAATGTATTAAAGAAGTTACATAAAAAAAATGAAAACTATTAAATAGTTAATTTGATAATAATATCGATTTATTTTTTTTCAAATTTATATTTCATTCAAAAATAAAAATATTATCGCTTTCTCAAAACCACATAAAATCGTATTATATCGATAAAGACGAAGAATAAAAACTAAACATGAAAATTGAGATTTATCTCGTTGCATTGCGCGAGCACCCTTCTATTTATATTATAAAGCATTTGACAAAAACTCTTAAAAACCATTTTTTATGTATCAAGTACTGTTTATTAATGCATATTACTTAAAATTTTGAGATTACAAGTAAACCATGCGTAAGTACAACTTATTAAAGCTCGATGTTTGAATTCGCGTAACTAACAGCTGATAAACATAATCAAATAGAGGATAAACATCTCATTTTAAAATATAAAAAATCTAAAATGTAATTAGGATAATTATCGAGTTCTAACAAAATAATTAATTATTATCTTTATAAGAAAATTATATTATTAAACCAAATATAAATTACTTCGTTATTGAATCTAAATTAAATTATAATAAATTAAAAAATTACACAAAAAATGAGGAGTTTTAAATAGTTAATTTTGATACTAATATCGATATATTTTTGTCAAAATTTTATAATATCTTCAAATTTATATTTTGTTCAAAAATAAAAACATTATTTTTCTTTTCAAAATTAAATAAGATAATATTATAACATCGACTGAGATAAAGATTAAAATAAAATATTAAAATGAAAATGTATCTCACTATATTATATAATTATCCTTCTAGTTAATTATAATGTAAACAAAACATATGTGGTCATATATTTATCCAAAAACATCAAATTCTGAAAAATAAAATAAAATAAAAAATCGAATCCCGTGAGTTTCTCGTAAAGAAATCTAGAAAATTACAAAGACCACAACATTGGTTTTGTATTTTATGGTGTTTTGAGTCTCGAGTCACAACTTGATGTCCATTTTTGTTGCCGAGTCCACTGCTGGATCCATCCATGACTCCATTTCTCTCTCTCTTTCCATCTTCTTAAATGGCCAACGGAAGTGGTGGACTCTCCTTTGATTCAGATCTCATCCCACTGCTCCGATAACCACACCGCTAATGGACGCCGGAGATGATCATATGCATCGTTTCAACCTCTACTCTTCTCCCTCTCATCATGATCATAAACCGTTAAACGAGATGGATTTCTTCGCCAATAACGACCTACATCATCAGTCAAACTTCAACGATGATGATAACTCCGATCACCTTCATCATAACATCAACGTAAGTCTATGATTTTACTATCTGATCTGTATATCAGTTGTTACCAAACTATCTTCAATCTGAATTATGTCGTAATCGAACTTTATTTTTGAGGTCAAATTCTATGAAAACCGTCTTAATTTTGAAATTCACAGTCTGGAAAGCATAGAACTAGAGGAGTGGATATTTTTGAGGTCAAAATCGATGAGTATTGTGAACACGCAACGAATCCGATTAACCTGTGTTGATTTTGGCGATCGGAGTGTTTATTTTCTTTTCGATTCTTTTTTTTTTCTGGTTAATTGAATCGATTGTAAACTATATATGCAGACTGGTTTGCATCTTCTTACTCGGAACACAAACAACGATGATCAGTCGGTACCGGATGATGGAATGTCTATGAATTGTGAAGATAAACAAACGAAGAATAAGGTATCACATGATTACATATATAACAAAAAGTTACTGTGAGATTGGATTATCAATTTGAAATTTATCAAAATATAGTTGGCAGATGTTCAAGTCGAACTAGAGAAAATGAACACCGAGAATCAACGATTAAAACAAGTGTTGGATCAAGTGACGAGCAATTACAATTCACTCCAGATGCACATGACGACGATGATGAAACAAAAGCAAGAAGAAAAACCCAACGACGATCGTAAGCCTAGCAAAGATGGTGGAGGAGATATGGTGATGGTGCCGAGGCCGTTAACAGATCTAGGTTTAGCTGCTCCGGCCACCGTGGATACCGATGAGAATTCCCGGTCGTCCTCTGAGGGGAGAAGCCATGATGAAATTCCACGATCGCCTAACACTAATATTGATGGTAGAGATCGTAGAGAACATAGCCCGGAACAGGTTTTGGGTTGTTCTAACAAGGTTCCGAGATTGAATGATTCAAAGAATGATGATAATATCGATCAAGCTACGGAAGCAACCATTCGAAAAGCAAGGGTATCTGTTCGAGTCAGATCAGAAGCACCCATGGTACGTCTGTAGTTTTTAGAGTAAACATGCATCAAAACTAGAGCCTATAAGAACCGGTTAGCACCGTCCTTGAGCCTGGTTTCATAAGCCATAAACCACCTTTTCCAATCTTTGGAGGAGTTGCTATATCTATACCTTTTGATTACATTAGATATCAGATAAAGATAAATATATGTTAACCACAAAAATATATTTAACTTAAACAATTAACAATTTGAATCTAAACAATTTGCATCATAGCTAGGTTGATGAAAGACCTTAAACACATGTAAAATTGGACTCCAAAATTTCGAAGGCCCTGTTCAAAATCTCGCATTTAACATGGTAAAAATATGGTCCTACCAAAAAGAAAAGCACGGTCACTTTAAGTACCGATCTGGGTCTAGTGGTTCAAACTGGTCCTGGACTTGTTCTGGCCAGACCCAATTTCCTTTCTTTTTATTGGAAAAAGAACTCAATTTCGTGCTTTCACAAAAACAATAACTCACCCACTTTTTGCTAAACATACCCTCATCTTGATTTGAACCATATCCTATGATATACTTCCCGTCACACTTCTCTCTCATCGTCACCTCAATTAATTTTTTAATTTGAAGTTACATTTTATATACCCTTACTTTTAGTTATTTAATTTGTTTTATATTATTTATTTTTCATTTTACATCTTATCATATTTATATACATAATTATATATTAACTAAAATATATTTATTTTACAAGTTATATCATTATAATCGTCTAGTCAACACTTTTAAAATAAACTTACTATTGAATATTTTTTATTATGATATATTTTTAATACATACACTTTAAACTTAAGGTATTGAAAATACGAATTCCACTAAAATACTTAATTAAAGAGTTTTAAAATATCGTAATATATCGAATTTAATTGGTTCTATACAAATAAATAATTAAATATTAATAAAAACATTTATTTTTAGTTAATAAATTATTAAAATTAATAGTAACATACTATTAATTAATATAAATAGGGTATCATATAGAAAAATAAAAAGTAAGAGGAAAATAGATAAACATCATGGGCTTAAAGATAATTGATACTTGATAGTATTTTGATAAAAATCCGATTCATATAAAGAAAAAATTATGTTTTATTCGGTTTGGAATATTCTTTTCAATTGGTGAAGGCACGGTAAAGATTGTTGCAACAACAATGGTTGTGGGGTAGAAATATTGGTAATTGGTGGACAATAGTGGTTTTGGAGGTAGAAATAGGGGTAATTGGTGGACAGTAGTGGTTGTGGAGGATGTGAAGATGGTGGATAGTGGTGGTGGTGGCGATTGACAATAGTAGAGAAGGTAGTTCTGACCTATATAGTAGAGGTAGGTATAATGGTGGGCAGTGGTGGTGGTTATGATGGAGGTGGTGGTGGAGATGGACGGTTATGGTTGCGGATGACATGAATATGGTAGATAGTGGTAATGGTAGCCGACAATGGTAGTGGTAGCAGGTGGTGGTGGGAAGTGATAGTGGTAGCCGATGGTGGATGTGAGGTGGCCTATGGTGGTGGCGATGAACGGTGTCGGTCGGTCATCGACGATGGTTGTGGATGTGGTGGAGGAGGTTGTGTTAGAAGAGAAGGTGAAGGTGGCCAACAGTGGTAGTGGTGGTGGCAATAGACGGTGGTGGTCAGTGGACGACGATGGTTGTGGAGGAGTTTGTAGTAGAAGAGAAGGTGGACGTGGCCAATGAT